CTAGATAAGTCCTAATGAAGGCTCTTAATTGTGTTCGGTCAGATTCGGAGTTACTAGCCCTCCAGCATTGCTCTAGGCATCTCTTTTGGCGCTTCATCTCCCAGAGTTTCTCAGTAAACCAAGGAGCCCTCCTGGATCCACTGCCGTGGAGAGGCCGTAAAGGTGCAATCCGGTTTAAAGCCTCCGCCGCCGCTGTATTCCAAGCAGCGACCAAGGACTACGCCGGACTGTGGGCCAGAGAGTCAGGTATCTGGTGACCTTTTGAGAGCTGTATGCAACGAAATTTCATTTTAATGTATGCTGATTAGCGTACATTCAAAGTGACAATAAAGTTATTATTCTATTCTATTCTACTCTATTTTATTCTATTTTATTCTACTCTATTCTATTATCTGTGTAAAGACTATGATCTAGTGAAGGAATCCCACTGATGGTAACATAAAGAGGCAATGTTTTTCTGCAATCAATTCCCTTTCCAGCATTCTAACAGTTGAGTCAAAACAACAGATATGAAGTCAGTAAGAAGCTGACAATGGGAATAATAAAACCAATATAGTAAAGTAAGTTATGTGTCAGCTCATTTACCAGAGTGAATGAAGTTTGCATAAAGGTAGATGGCTTACAATACACCTAAAGGCAAGAGTTGCTGGGAAGTTAACATTTTTGCAAAACTTTCTAAGACTATATCTTTGTCGAAGTAAAGAACTGCTTCGAATAATATCAATATAGGGAGAAGATCTGAAGGGAGAATGGAAATGTGCAAAAGGTAGAGGAATATCCCTTCTTTACTGAAAAATAAAATAAAATATGCTTTTGAACTTTTACACAATGGGGACTATGTCATTTTGCCGTTCCTAATGTTAGCCAGCAACAAAAATAATAGTATATTATACTACAAATGTCATCACGAAAGAAGAAACTTTCAAAAGCAGCATCTGCGTGGAGGTAGAATTTCCAGTTTTCCTCACTTGCTCTAGAAATGGTTGATCATTCTGAAATAGTATGAAATAGAATAGAATTCTTTATCGGCCAAGTGTCAAATGCCAAGGAATTTGTCTTTGGTGCATATGCTCTCAGTGTACATAATAGAATAAAATACATTCATCAAGAATAAAAAGATACAACATTTAGTGATAGTCAAGGTTACTAATAAGCTATCAAATTGTACTAGGAAACAAATAAAAACAATATAAATTGAAAGATACAAACAACATGGTTATAGCAACATGGTTATAGCAACATGTGGGGAGAGATAGATACTAGGAAGGAAGAGAAGAATAATAGTAGTACATTCTTAGTAAATTATTGACAGTTTTATGGGAATTAGTTGTTAAGCAGAGTGATGCTTAACATCACTCTGATGTTAAGAAAAAACTGTCCTTGTGTCTAGTTTGTTCTGGTGTGCAGTGCCCTATAACGTCATTTTGAGGGTAGAAGTTGAAACAATTTATGCCCAGGATGTGAGGGGACTGTAGATATTTTCACAGCCGTCTTTTTGATTGATCTTTGTGGGTTCTTCTCTAAAGCAAATTATAAAGGTCAGGAAAAAAGCCTTTGTAGATATTGCTTTCAAACATATGGGAAAAACTTTTCTAGTACTTTTACTTACTTCTCCTACCTAGCCACAGGAACCCTTAAGGACTTTCCTGTCACACAGTTAAATAGGTGCATGTGTGCATGTTTGTGTTGACTGCATGCATAAGTATACCTATGAATTTAAAATTTCTCTTGTGCTGTTTTCTAAGTCAAAATTGTCTCTAGATGCTGTTTGCCTTCAGGGCAAAAATAAAAGATTTTTTGAAAGGAAATAAAGAAAGGCACACTAAGTAAATGAGTGCTGATAAAATTGCTAAAATTCATCCTGATAATACATTAGGAAGAGTTGAGAAGATGAAGTCTTTTTCTCAGCATAGTGAAGAATTCCATGCTTAAGGCCAAGAATATATAGTGGGATACTGTTCGGTTTCTACAGATTCATTAAAAAAAGCCAGAAAGGGACCCAGCTAAGTTAGGAGTTTGAAAAATCATCTTTATTCTTCTATACTGCTGACATCATACACCAAGAAAGGGCCCTGACCCTTTCCATTCCTTTGCTGGCTGCCATCTGGTTCCCCCTCTTCTCTGCATCCTAAATTCCAGTACCATAGTGCCATCTACTGATAGCCAAATATTTTGCAATTTTAAAAAAATATTGCACAATGCCCATTTCTTGTCCTAAGGCTGCTTGCTGGAAGATATGAACTCTTGGTATAAAACAAATCACTTTCTAATCAACATTAAAGTGCTGGTACTGCTGAAGTATTATTATTATCAATTCAAAAACATCACATTATGAGTTTGATAGGATTTAGTCCAGTGGTGGGTTCTGGATCCCATTCCAACCAGTATGATTGGAACGGGCCCGGTGGTGTGCACATGGACGTGCACAGCTTGCGCGCATGCATCTTAGCATCTCCATAAGCCTTTGTGATGTTCCAGATGCTCAGCGGAGTATTGCGCAGGCACTGTACGCACCATACACAGAAGCCCTGAAGACTTAAAAGACCAGTAAGGAGCTCGGGCGGGCAGGCTCTCTGGAGCACCGTACTGGAACTGTATCCGGTGCTCCAGTACGCCCATACCGGGGCATACGTCCTGCAACCCATCACTGATTTAGTCCCACATTATATGTAGCATTATAGGTTCATTTAAACCAGGGGTGGGCAACTGTAGCAACTTTACGACCTGTGGACTTCAACTCCCAAAATTCCTGAGCCAGCTTCAAGAATTCTGGGAGTCAAAGTCCACAGGTCGTAAAGTTGCCACAGTTTCTCACCCCTGATTTAAACAGAAAGTGTAGCACGCTAAGAAGATAGAAATGAAGGAAGCACTCTTATTAATTTTACATAAGACTAGCTCCATATAATACATTGAAAATGAGTTTCCAAAATTAGAGGAAATAATGAAAATCATGATTTTTCTAAGACTATCATACACAGCAGGCAGCGTCTCCAATTCCTTTGTCTAATGAGCAGATCAAAGTTTCACGGTTAATATGACAATTCTTCAGAAAATTCTCAAAAACACGGCTCTTGTAAGGCTTACCAATCAAAATGAAATAATAATTTCTATCTCAGTGGCCAGCATTTTTGGGCCTTTATTTTGCAATTAATCTTCCTTACAGAGAAAAGTGTTATAACTAAATTTCTCAGTGCTGAACTCCACAGACCATATATCTTAAAAATAGTATATTTGATTCAATTTTCTTGCTCTGTAATTGATTCCTAGCATATATTCTGACACAGAGCAAACTAGGAATAGAAGCTTTCCATCAGTTTGAGAAATACATAGAAGGGCAAAATGTTAGCAGTAGAATTTACTTCCTTATCCAGTCACTCCTCCCTTCAAATTTCTACCATCACCAAGGGAGGGAAGAAATTAGTAAATCTCTAGTTCAACTGCTACCTTCGGATATTTTGGACATTTTGCTCTGTAAGGACTCTTTCAGCACTTTTTGGTGCTAACGTATGGCAGACTCCTGATTAACTATCATGTGATACCTAATATAATTGGTTATAATTCAAATAGATGTCGTAGCAAAACCATTCCCATTACTGCCACAAGTCAGGCCTGAATCCTGGAGAATTATTTGAATAGAACTTAGGTTTTCATGATTTTAACGAGACAACTATCTGAAGTTGAAAAAGATAAATTAATCATCATTTCTCCTTCCAGAATAATGAAAGATTATAAGGGAAAAAAAGATTTTATTGACAATCTTCCAATTCTGAACTTCCTTTCTGAATTGTTGAAAAATATATGACAACTGTGTTCTATTTATTAATTAAATTTGGATAGCTTTGTACAATATTCTGTATGCTTTTCTAATCAAGAAATGGCAAGCCAATTTAGAGTCTTTACAACATATGTTGTAGATAACTCTCCTTCTTCTTCTGGGGCCATGCAAAATAACCTAAGTAAACCAAAATACCAACAGCCCCAGGAGAAAAAACAAAAACAAAAAAATGGAGTCACCTACAGCATACAGTGTAAAGGCTGTGGCAGCCACTATACAGGACAAGTAGGCAGAAGACTAGCATCCACCAACATCAATAAGCAGTCAGAAGACATGATGGAAATTTTTTAATTTCACAACATTTGGACAGACTGAACCATAGTTTCAACTGGGAAACTGTGACCATCCTAGACCAAGCAAAATTCAAAACTACTAGAGATTTCCTGGAAGCCGGGCATTCTGACAAATTGACCATCAATAGAATCACAGAAATAAACAACATCTACATACTGTGCAAAAGAGACAATCAACAAGCCAGAAAGAGAACACGTAGACCCAAAAACCTCCCCACCAGCAATCAACATCCAGATGAGCATAGATTAATACCAAGATTAACATCAGTCCAACAATCAAGAAGTAAAGAATATTCCAATTAAGGAAGTGCCAAAAAAGCTAGCAGTAAACAGGCCGACCAAATGACCCCTCCCACCAACATTGATAGGACAAGGCACTAGAACATAAACTGAGAGCAAATTCATTCCTTACTAGCATTGATCATGTTACCTAGTATGGATAATGAAATGTCTGCAAGAAAACACCCAAGCTCAGAAAACACCAAGGACTCCTCATTTCAACCTTGAGCTACAATTATTTTTCTTTATCGATAAATACATACATACCTTTAACATCATTTGCCTGTTTGTTGGCATCATTAAGAACCTTGAAGCTTTTTTGTAAAGCATTCTTGGCAGCATCCTTTAATGAGCCTTCTGGACCAGATGCCTATAGAAGAAAAGTAACAGAAACAACTATTTGCTGTAGCTGAAAAGATTCCAGGAAAAAAGAATCAAGAGAAATTGACTACTTTATTTAAAAAAAAAAGGAGTGCAACATAGTTGAAGAATTATGATGATTGAAAACACCACAAATTTGCTTTGAATTGTTATATTAGATTACTGTAATATATTATACTTGTTTTTGTTATTTCAGTTTCATTGTAAAAACAGAGTCTTTTCTGTTCTTTCATCCCCAGGAAACAAAAAAATAGACTTTTATTGGGAGGAAAAAAAAATCAAAGTAACACTTACACTTTTATAAAATCTCTCTCCTTCTCTCTTTTTCTCTCATACCAATAATATATACACGTACATTAATATAAATCTTTAGTTGGCTGCTCATTAAACATGTATAAGATCTCCTAAAATTGTGGGAAGGGCAACCATTCTACTACAATCATTTCAGAAAGGAAAAGTTGTTTTATGAGTGACTCAGAATTGAATAAATTGAGACCTCAAAGTCACTCACACTTTTCTAAATTATTTGATGTAGCCTCCAGAGCTTCTCTAATTATTACCATCAAATTGTAATTGTTTAATATGACAGAATAGTGAATTATTAAATTCATGTGAAATAAATTACATTATCTTAAAATTAGCTAATTTGGTGTAGTTATATTTAAATTAAATTAAATCAAAACTACTTTTTGTCCTTGTCCCACCTCTTTTGGAAGTATGTATGGATTACACTAGATTAGCCTTTATGAATGGGAAGACAGGTCATTGGCAAATTAAGGAGAAAGAATTGTAATGTGAACAAACGGATACTATAATGGAATATCACTGCTAAATTGAGCTATGTCCTAAGTAAAAGTCCTAGATCATATTTAGTAACTACCCAACTTCTCTTAAAGGAGTATCACAAGATTCACGCTAAACTTCAACTAACCATCCCTGCTCATTGTCTTATTAATTTATCCATAGAATCATAAAGCACCAACTCAAATTTTCATTTTCAAAAGTCAAGGATGGATGATAAATGAAAACTGGATTATAGTAAATTTCCCCCCACGCCTTTAATCCAGATCATAGTCAGGTTTGAGCTTTAAGAATGGGGGTCTATAAAATGATGTTCAATCTTGACAACATGTTTAAATTTGATTGTGTTGGTGATGGTGGACAGGATAAGATATAGTTGTCTTGTATATTATACTATACTATATAGATATAGTAAAAGTATTCCTATTTTATAGTTAAAAGGTAACATTTAAAGTTATTTCCATTGTTAAAAACTCGCCACATCCACAATTTGTTTCTGTTTCATGAAATAACCAAACTGTTTTAGAAGAGAGAATTACTGCCAAATTCAGCAATAGAGATTCTTGCTGAATAAGTTTACATTTCTTCTATTTTCACTCCTCTGTGATCTAGAAGAGGCATGATGGTTATGACTAGCAAGAGGCTACATGCAAATCTGAATATCATTACTAATAAATAAGTGTGAATGCTTAACTGGCTAATAAAAAGTTCATTAGACATAATGAAATTGTTATGATACCCAATTTGCAATATAAAAAGTAAAAAGTGTGTGTAGTCAGATCTAAATAATTGAATTTGGCTTGAGTCTTGGCTGTGTTACATGTAGTGTAAAATGATTTCCACGAGATTGAATAGATAAGTAGAAGCTGATAATAATAGATAACTGATTTATCTTGAGGCTTGTGATATTTTATACCACCAAATAAAAGGTTATTTAGTCTAAATTCCTTATTGAACTATCTGATTGATATTAAAAATGATGATAGCAAGCAAGGAATGAACATTCTAGAGAATTGGGATTAAACAAATGAATTTTCCATGGGAAAAAATGTGAAATTTGGGTATAGAACAGTGTGAAAATTCATACAGCAATGGAGTCACTGTAATGTATATTATATTGTTAATTTTCCAGTAAAGGCAATATCACAGCAAAAATCATTTGTAGAAGTCCTTCTCTTGGTACACCAAAAGAAGAGATTTGCTTCGCATTATCAGTTGGAGGAAGAATCTGTACAACTAATCTGAGATGAGATTTAATAAGTTAAATAATAATAGCAGTAGTTTGATTATACTTTACTGATGCTTATTGTACTGTAGTTGTTTGTTTAGTAACAAACCTTATTTTAATGCTGTTAACCATAAACAGATTCTGGATGATGATGGCTTTGCCTGATAAAGCTATTTTATAGATTCCTGCAAGAAATAACCCAAATGTTTTGAATAAAACAGTAGAATCTATTTTATTTTGAAGAGTTTGTTGTCCGTAGAGTAACTAGTTTTAATTTACCAACATGATTTGGGCCATTGCTTAAGATTGCCTGATGGATGTTTATTAGCAGTTGTATTAAACCTTGTAATACACTAACCTAAATCAATGAGTATATGATAAATATTGCTAAGAAATAGAAGGACAATATTAGTATCTAAGCATTGAAGAAGATTATTTGAGAGAGCTTTCCATTTAGGCCCTCAAGAAATTTTCACTTACCAATTTTATGGCTTCGTTGGCACGAGCTTTAGCATCTTTAGAAATTGCATCTGCTTCATCAATATGGTCCTTGATATTGCTATAGGCCTTAAAAGCTATTGTTGCATTGAAGGAGAGGTTTTTAGCTTCATCAAGGATTCTGTTAGGAAAAACATATATTGAAATCAACTTTTAAAAACTCAAGGGGGAATTTTAGATGCTAATTCTAGACCCATATGTATTAATGATTTTTTGAACATAGGTACTCCCTACAGGACTCAGCCAGATTTTCTTTTGGGTAGGCATGCACAGATTTTCAACTTACAGCCTACTTCTAGCCAGGACAAAACAAACCAATAAAACAAAACAAACTTGACATGATTGTGATTAGGCCACAGAACAAGAATACTGCAATGTCACAACATGAAACATTCATCTAATGCTAAATATCATTGATTCTACACTCCAAAGTTTGAAGGATCTAATTTTGTTGGAAATTCTATCTCCCCCCCACCTTTTCTCTTTTTGTATTTATCAAGAACTAAAGTCAGTCTATTTCTTTGGGAAGATTGGGACATTGCCTTGGGAAAGCTTACACAATCATGATAATGGAGTTTCAGGATGTCCACTTAATTGTCAAAAATAAAATAAAAATCTTTCCTCTATTTCCCCAGCTATCAAATTCTAGAGTCAATGAAAGTGAAATAACAATCTTGTCAACTTACCCATCCAAAATAGCAGATGAATCATTCAGCTGGGCAGCATGGGCTTCTGCCTGCAGTACCTTTTCTGGAAGTTTCTTATTTTTGATATCTCCAGATAGATTATCTATTTTACCCTTCAGTTCAACTGAAAGTGGGCCCATTTCATTTTTAATATTGTCTATGTTCTAAGAAGCAGAAAAAAGAAGCATGTTTAAGTAACCAAGTGTTTAAGCACAGAAATTGTAGCCCTTTGTAACAAGATTATTTTCCTATTATACTGAAATGAATCAATGAGCTTTACCCTACATTAAAAGAATTTTGATACCTATAGTTTGGATTTCTAGGTTTAAGATTCTATCTGCTTGGTCTCAAAGCTGAACTGAACTTTAATGGTCTTCTTGACTACACAAAGTTAACTAATCAGATCTTATCAGAATATAAAGTGGGATTTGTTAGTTAATATAAAACTGTTATTTCATCAGCACTCTCACCTCAGTCACATTCAAAATGATATTTCTTGGATTTTATTTGCTTAAAGACATAATGAAAAAGTAATTTACCCAATTAGTTATGAGAGGAACCCATTAGCGAAAAAGCACATTTCATTATGCCATCAACTTATGCCTTCAGCTAAAGCATGCTGTGAAATACATTATAATTGATAAAACTGTTCTTCATGAATTTTCTAGAACCAATTCTCTATGCATAGTATTTGTTTCTGATTAGAATCAGAAAGACAAACCAATATTAAATGGAACTATGAGAACACAGGCTGCCCTCTTTTAAGGCAGGAGGCATTTGCAACATTGAAGGCTTTCATCAAAATATAATGAGACAAACACAACATTGTGGGAACAGGGCAAAAGAAAGAACTTGCCTGGACATGTTTGTTCCACACTTAAAAGCAAGTCAGAAAAGGCACATAATGAGGAATAGCATATACAATGAATATGAAAATGAATTGACTTTTAGGGTATATACAAAGGCTACTGTCAGGTCCAGTCTAAGAACAACATACAGCAATCCAGCCAAAATTCACTTCTTTACTTATTCACACCATACAGACAGAATCTTGCCGGATTTAACCTATATTACTCTAAACCTAATGGATACACCTTGGAAGACTCTAGGGAATGGGTTTCCTAAATCTCTTCCTTCTTTTCCAAGTCAACTTTGGGCTTTCTCTCTTCTCTCATCCTCCCCCTGGTTGTGCCCTCCCCTTGCTGGGAAACTGCAATTTCACTGTGGCCCATCTCCCTGTCTGTAGGCACAATCTTGCAAAGCTTTATGAAGTGCCCATTCACTTCCTCCCTTCAGAAGTGGTATTCTACCGATTCAGACTGGTTCGCCCAAACTGGTAGCGGAAATCACAGGTGGGTCCTGCCCACCCGTCCCAGCATTTAGGCTCCTTTTTTGCCAAAAGCACATGCGTGGAAGGCTGTGCACATACACGTGCTCACATTTGCGAGCTGGTAGGGAAGATAAGTGAATATCTGGATTCTTGACTCACTCCCATTTCAAATACTATTGGAATAGTATAGCAGAATTATAAACCCATGGAACCAAATGATTGGAAGAGAACATTGTACATCATGACCAATCACTTAAATGCTTAATGCCAAATTAAAACATCCATAGGTATCTATATGGAAGGACAAATAGGGGAAATGTTGACATATAGCATGAGACCAACCATGGGACTTGCATACTTGTGTCTGATGCAGGTACAAAAGTTGAGGCTTATCTTGTGATATTGTGAAACATACTTTTTCCCCACGTCATTGAAATTTGTACCAGATAACCATTAAAGAATCCCAAACATCTTCAGCTTCCTTCTTCTACAAGGAAAATGCTTCTCTTTTCCAAGCGTCTCAGAAGTAGTTGAATTACAAAATCTAATTTGCAAATGTCATTTTTGACTGATTTTAGTCTTGGTATTGAGCATCTCATATGGTCAGGAAATTAAAGCCATCAGGTTATTTTTTTTCACTAATTCATTAAAAAAATGCAATTTCCAAAAACAATATGCTAATTAATTACTCATATTCAAATATAAAGTAACCCTGTCATTCAAACATGCCATTTTAATCTTTGAAAGTGATTTTTGTTTCCATTTCTCCTCTATCATAACCATATCCTCTATATCTCTACTACTTAGTCTATCTGAAAATACAAAATACATTTTTTTATTGCCTGCTGATTCCCCCTTTTTTTTCAGTTAGACTTATATACCGCTTCATAGGGCTTTCAGCCCTCTCTAAGCGGTTTACAGAGTCAGCATATTGCCCCCACAGTCTGGGTCCTCATTTCACCCACCTCGGAAGGATGGAAGGCTGAGTCAACCTTGAGCCGGTGAGATTTGAACCGCTGAATTGCAGATAGCAGTCAGCTGAAGTGGCCTGCAGTGCTGCACTCTAATCATTGCGCCACCTCGGCTCTTTTATGTTGCACTGCATTATAGCCTCCACCCTTAAAACATATATCAAATTTTACCTCCACAGCCAAATTGATTTCATTTGCAAGTTCATTAGTTTCACCAAGGATGTCATTTCCTTCTTTTAGAGTATTTTCAGTTTCCTGTCGTCCATTTTCTATAGCTTGCTTCTTTTTCTATATGCAAAATATAGAAACATTTGTGATTTTATGTATTAATAAGACATCACATTCCCATTATTATTTCACCTAGTGCTGTGCCTGTGTGTTTGTGTGTGTGTGTGTGAGAGAGAGAGAGAGAGAGGGAGAGAGAGAGAGAGAGAGAGAGGGAGAGAGAGACTGACTAAAGGTAAATGTAAAGGTTCTCCTTGCACATATGTGCTAGTCATTCCCAACTAGTCATTCCCATTTCAAAGCTGAAGATCCAGCACTGTCCAAAGACATCTCTGTAGTCATGTGGCCGGCATGACTAAACGCCGAAGGTGCACCAAACGCTGTTACCTTCCCACCAAAGGTGATCCCTATTTTTCGACTTGCATTTTTATGTGCTTTTGAACTGCTAGGTTGGCAGAAGCTGGGACAAGTAATGGGAGCTCACCCCATTATGCGGCACTAGGGATTTCACCTTTCGATCGACAAGCTCAGCATCTTAGCCACTGAGCCACCGCTTTTCCTAGATATATGAGACTACTCATATCCAATTTACTAGCAAAGGCATTGTTTTACATTTTCTTCATATAACAAGATTTACATTTTAATTCTCATAGGTAGGGTACTCTTAGCTATGTCAATAAGTTGCTTGAATAAATCGCCACTTGCATACCTTCCCTGAGCTTTGCTGTACTCAAGCTGTACTTCCCAGCCACTTGCACTTCCTCTGCGACTCAACAACAGCTCCCTCAAGTTCAGGCATGTTTGTGCTGTGCTTCCCTGGTCATTTGTGCAGCCATTTACCTGCCTGCCACCCTGCTTGCAAGCCATCTGGAACTTGGCAGATTCCTTATTGACTTTGGCTGTTGGAAACTGACAGGAAGTTGCAAGGAAGTGCCCAAGATCCTCACTTAATAGTGGCAACTTTGGAAATGGCATTGCTAAGTGGTGTAGTCATGTGATGTTGGGTTTTACAACACTATATCACTTAGTGATGGAAATCCCAATCCCAATTACTATTATAACTCAAGAACTATCTGTAGTTAGTATTTATCTGCAACTTCCTTAAAAAGCTGCATTTTCCCAGGAAAATGCACTTGTCCCTCAGTACTACCGTACATCCTCATCAATCTTGAAAAGAGCTGTTGGTTTAAGAAGTAGCAAACAAATGTTAAATTTACATGGACCAACACACCTTTTTGTCATTAAGTCCTTTATCAGTCCTTATATGGAAATAAAGAAATGTGTCTCTTTGAGTTATACTTTATGATAAAATATATAACTATATAATTTTAGGAAAGTTTACCATGTTTTCGAAGATTAAAAACTGAGGGATGAAATTAAAAAATAAAATTTCAATTTGCCAGAAGTTAACCTTGACTTGAAGGAGACTCTTCTTTCACAAATGGCAAAGGTGTATCTTTTCAATGATTCTTCTCTGGAACAACGTTCCCCTTGAAGTCCAAGTAATCCCTGCTAAGCTTCAAGGAAATAATGTGTTTTTGCTGACCTTGGCAGCCGATATGTGATGAGGTTGTCACCTCTTACTGCGGAACATTTTATTTAATTGAACTTTCATTACACCCTAGGTCATTAGGAATGTTGTTATTTGTTATGCTGATTGCTATTCTACTCTTATTTATACATCTTTTTAATGACTGTGGGATATGGAGACTATTTAGAGGTGGAAGCAGCATTAGAAACCCATAAAATTAAAAAAAGGACCTTCTACAATGTTTCCTATTACAAAAACACTTCATCAGAAACCTAATGATGCTAAAGGAAATTCACTTGCCAAACACATATCTATTTTCCTTATAGCCTGTAGATTGACAAAGCAGATGTCTATGGATGCTGATGTTCATCATCCCATTTCTGAACCTGATTTATTATAAGCAGCCTTACAGTGAGTAAAGATCGATAAATCCTTACAGACATTATCTTATTTTGAGCAATTAATTTTCAGGGGAAAATCTCTGCCTGGCCTTTCTTGCTTCTTCTCTTGTTTATTGACTAAACCTTGATAACTACCCAACTTTGACCATGCCTCTGCCATATGCCTCTGATTTTTTACTAAATATTGTAAGTGGTCCATTCTGGGATCACTAGAAATTGGACACAATTATCTCTGAACCGATTTGCATTTAATTAGATATGAATATAGTACTGGACAATTTGAAAGTGACTTGGAAAAATTGCTTTGGATATAATTCAGTTACTTTAAGACATGCATTATAGATACATTTTTTAAATGTTTCAATTTATTAAAGCAGTAATTGAGGCTGAAGCCAGAAAGAAAAACAGCATGCTTTAATAAACAGCAGATAACTGGTTTGTTTGTACAAAATCTAAAATTATTCTTCCAAATAATTTCTAAACAGTGTTAAGCCTTAAGCTTAATATAGTCCTTCAAGACGAAGGAAAAAAGAGAAATTCCTGCAGATTTTATACATAGAAATCATACCATCAGAAACAATACCCCCCACAACCAAACTGTATCTTCATGATTTGAAACATGGCCTCATGGCACTTGTTAAAAAGTATTTTAGAAATCTAAATTATAATATATATTTTTTGCTTTGAGTGGAATCACATAGACTCAAATTTAAAAAAATGTTTCTACACATTTGTGTGCTTTGTGTATGTACATTCAATTTGTAACAAAAAAAATCAGACCTCCTAGACAAATTATAGTATAAATTCATTCAGATTGGTTGCTGTTTTCCTTTAAACACTTCCTCATTTAATATATGACCTTTGAACATTCCAAAGTACAATAACATTTTCTCTGAAAAAAAATTAAATATATTATGATTGGCCCAACCTTTGACACACCCTCTATACAGTCTGTCTGTCTCAGTGTGGATGTGGATGGGTGTCTGTAACAATAGTATTTTTTTCTTCCTACTTTAAGAGCTGACTGAGAAGCAATACTACCCTTTAGACTGTTAGCCCCTGTAGCTTTGAAGCATATTTATGGAAACTGCTACTATTGGATTAATATTTGCCTTCAGGCAAAACATGAGTGAGACATAAACAAGAAACTGAACACATTTATCTTCATTTGAGGTTGACTTTGCTTTTACTGTCATGGCTAAGCATTTGTTAATGTACAGTATAATGTGCTTTCAAGTCATGGCAATTAAATTCAAATCAAGGAAAATCATTTACATCACTTAACTACAAAAGATATATGATGGCTTGATTTATAATGTGAATTTGCATATACTGTACCCATTTTAATTTCTTCCTTGAGAGCATGAGAGAAAAGAAAGTGTAGCCATACTAATGTTGAAGATTAACTGTCTCTCCCTGTGTGCATGTGAATAGAATATCAACATGTGAAGTAATGGCTATACAGGGCTCTAAGGGGGTTTGTTTTTTTGAATCACTATACATTATATGTATTATATATTAACCATGAACAAGTCACTAGAGTTTCTTTCCATTTTCTTCCTATTTCAATAACAATTTTGCTGCTGTAACTTACTCCAAATAGTAATTTAAACAATATATCCAAGATTTCACCAAGTTATATCCATAGTATTTTGGCTGTATTTTTAACTGGAAAATAGCACACATTATCTTGATTATATGGAAAATATATAATTCCATATGGAAAAAAAAGTCTGTAAAAGGGATTTTATGACCAAACACCCACCTCTACTCCTGTCAAGTTTCTTTGGTTGATTGCTGATAGTCTGTCTGCTTCCCGAATTTTATTAGTTGCTTCTCTCAACAGGTTCAGAGCATCATCAATTTTATCATGGTAGTCTGCTAGTTTCTCTTTGACTTCATTTTTCAGGTCCTCAGTTTTCTTCTTTGGCTCTACAAATAGCTTGTTCATGTTCTTCAAGAGGTCTTCTGCTGACCTACAACCACACCATAAAAAGTGTTGAATAATAGATCTCACATTCTGTTCATTCTGTCTCCTTCTGATAGGTATTTAAAAATTGACTTAGTTTATGCAGCTATTCATTAGGACATGTTTCATTCATGATATTGCTTTGCAATGCTTATGGGTTCAGCAGGTACTAAACAGCTCCTTAACCCGTCTCTTGCTGACAGATTCAGGCATAACATCATTAATAGTTCAAAGTAGAAATATATGCATTGGATTTAATTGGATCTTGAATTGAGTAGTGAATCAGGATGATACAGAAAGAAGTTGTAAATATCAAGTTCAAAGCAGAGATCTTTTGAAGTAGACTAATCTCAACCTCTGGGCTCCTTATGGTGATTCACAGAAGCAGAAAGTCATTTCACCTGCAAAACTCTGCATTTCTACTGAAATTCCCAGACTGACAGATCTAGTTTCTATTTTCAATGGCCAAGTTTACTAGGGACTCTCTAAACTCAGTACTTTTATCTATGTGGTTTTTAAAAAGGAGCCTTTCATAGAGGTGATCCAAGCTGTTGCTTCCTCAAGCTTCATGGTTCCAAAATTTATTCCTAAACTCATTTTTGAGGTAATAGTTGTAAATATAACATAATTCAGGATAAAAATAACTCAAAACTCTGGTTAGGTTTTTTTGAATCAATAAAGCTGTACAAAATAAATAGAATCTGGGGATATTAAGGCCTCAATGACATTGATCCAGGAGATAGGGAGAGGAGGGAGAGGGAGGGGAAAGAGAGGGGGGAGGGAGAGTGAGCACACCAATTCCTTTTCCCTTTCTGTATTCATTTGTATGCTTAATAGTAGAATAACAGAGTTGGAAGGGACCTGGGAAGCCTTCTAGTCCAACCCTCTACCCAAGCAGGAGACACCATTCCAGAAAGTGATTGTTTAGTCTCTACATAAAAGCCTGCTGGGAAGGAGCACTCACAACTTCTGAAGGCAAGTCGTTCCCCACCCCCCACCTCTCTCACACACACCTTACTGATAAGTAGTTATAGCTATTCTCAAACATACATAAAACTTTTTTTTGTTATTCCAATTTCTGTTTTTTTTTATTTGAAGTCTTAAACTGCCACTGAAATTTCAATTTCCCCAACTCTGAAAGGAAATTTCATTACAGGCATAATAAGATCAACTATGATTTCATTTATATTTTCTCCTTTGCCACTCACTCTAATTCATCTTGAGCTACTGCCTTTTGCACTTCCAATTTTCTCTTCCTAAGTTCTGCCATCATTTTGTCAACTTCACTTTGTAATTCTTGAAAGCTTTTGTCAAGTGCCTTGTCTGGGATCCCAAGTGTCTCGTTCAGTTTTAAAGCATCATCATTTACACCTGCAGAAAGATGGCAAATTATGAAAGTCAACAAAATGCAAACGGATAATGTTTAGCATATTCATTTGATTTAATTTCATTTATTGAAATGTTCCTGTGATATTCCTCATGTATGGGAATGGGAATAGGTCCCATTACTCCAACAATAAAGAAAGAGACAGCAGGATTAGACATCATGTTTCATATATGGGACCATAACCTATTTGTACAATCCAAGTGAATCAAAATAGAGCTGGAAGGGATCTTGGATGTCTTCTAGTCCAATCCCCTGCTCAAGCAAGAGATCCTATTTTATTTCAGACAATGTTACACAATGTGTACATGGTACTTTACTCAGCATTGCTAGAAAAGAATCACACCTCAGTTCTAAGAATGATATCAAGTTTACATAAAAATTATATCTGTGTGGTCTTCTTTATTTAGTATGTTTTATAATCCCTAAATATTGCTTAATACCTTCTAATTACTATTCCCAATTGCACTTTGAAGTTCACGGAATCAAATTCCTTTTATAATTTGCTGAGTCTCAAGATGCATTTATTTCTATCCATTTGCAAGCAGATGTTCATTTCTAGCACGAAATAATGTATTTTTAAAGGCATTTTGAGAAATTAAAAATATACTCTTAATGCACCTTGTAGGGTATTAAAACTACACGGTGCTTTTTTGCTTCTCCTCTTAAATGAAAATTTCACTGAGTTGAAAATAAACAACAGCAAAGCAGAAGTTACCCATTAGTTATTTAATCATAATAGCTATTTTTGTCGACTAAAAACGTTCCTGAAGGAGAACATTTAATTTCTGCTGTTCAGTGGTTGTAATTGCCAATTTACAAACAAACTACCCTCCTTAGATTGCAGGAAACCTGCAATTATTTGACTATAGTTTCTGTAGTTTAACACAAAAGTCCGGTATTTTAATCAACCCATCCTTTTATTTTATAAAACTCTTGTTCAATGTCTTATATAATTATTCTTAAAAATGTGCTGCTTTCCTTTCCTCAAGAAACCATTGGCATTTTCCCTTTCTTACCTTCTGAAGCCTGGAGGGTGACTTTGATGAGCTGTCCAAGCGACTTCGCTCTCTCATTAGTTGTCTTAGCATCCTGTCCAGTTTGTTCCCCATCTGCTGTCACCTTGGTCGCCTGGCAATACAGATTAAAGAAAAGTGTAATTAATGAACATGACAAGGAGATACTCCATCTGTCTGAATACACTTGGAAACCTTTCCTCAAGCAAAAAGAGATCAATGAATTATTGATCAGATATACTGGAAGTGACACATACTCTTCCCAAGTACACAATTATATTTTATAACCACTTCTATCATTAAGGGGCCACCACAGGCTCAATTTTTCATTTCTTGGAGAACATGTTGGAAAGAATAGGACACAAAGGAATTCTGGACAAAAAAAAATGGATTTATTCCCAACCTTAAATATGTAAGACGCTATATTTGATTAAAATACCGCTGTTCCAAATGAAATAATGGATCTCTTAGGATTTCATTAGACACTTCAGTCCTATTGATTTTAGTGTTACATGACACTTGGTTAAGAATACTTAAGTAGCACTTTCAAGTATAGTTTTAATGAACAATTTATAATTTGTTTATATGACTACACTGTAGGAGATGACCACGCTGAGCCCAAGGGTGGGGTCAAACGCATCATCAGTTCTGAGTCTTTATGCCCCCATAAGAGACTGAGATCCAGCTCCCACTTGAAGTGCATTGACTCTTATTTAGCACAAATTTCCTTGACCATTAGTAGTTTGAATTCTTTTTTTTTAATAAAATGTTTTTTTTAACTTTTCAACATATAAACATTCCAACTTTCCTTAAACAGTGTGTCATATGGGTACAAATATCTCTGTGCAACAGTTTTCAGCATTTACAACATCATTCACATTAATATTAATTCTCTAATTTTAAAATTGTAGTATATTAAACAATTGAACATTATTAACCTATTCATTTTTCTCTTAACAGATCTTCTAATAGAAATACAATAATAACATTAAGCATACTTATTGGTTCAGATTCTTGTATGGTAAAGGTTTCCTTGTCAAGTCATGTCTGACTCTAGGGCACAGTGGTCATCTCCATTTCTTGACTGAGGGAGAGAGTATTATCCAAAGACATTTCCTATGGCCATGTGGCCAGCATGATTATACACCAAAGGTGCACTGAATTCTGTCATATGGGTAGCATGAAAGAAACTTACAGTACTTTTGAACTGTATCCTGGCTCCTGACTTCTTGCACCTGGCATATATCCGCATGTAATTTATCAACAGTAACCCTCCTACTTTGCAATATAAATCACAGTTCTAAATACATTCTTTGTGGGACAAATCAAAAATAGCAATTCACATTTTCCTCATTTTCCTTCCATTATCTTATTGCTAGAGAAGTAAATAAATCTCAAATATGTTGAATCTGCAATGTCCTTGACACTGGAAGTTAAGACCTCTATATCCAGTGTATCTAATTTGTCAGGTGTAAAATATGGTCTAGAGCAAGAGTGTTAAACTCAAGGTTCGGGGCTGATCCAGCCTCAGGATGCTTAGATCTGGCCTGTGGTGCCACCTTGGAAAGAGCCAAGAACTGGCCTGCCTCTGCCAGGGAAAATGGAGCTCAGGAGGGGCTGTCCTGAGCTCTGTTTTCACTGGCAGAGGGTTGCAGGAGGCCATTGTAGCTGAAAACGGAACTCATAAGGGCTGCATGTGGCCCTCCCAAGCTCTGTTTACATTTTCTACTAGTCAATAAAATACAGATCTGGGAAACCTAATTGGCTGGCTTCACATTATTAATGTGACCCTATGGTTTATTGAATAAACCATATACTCTTGGCTTCACATAACACGTTAGATCCAAACTGAACACCTTTTCCTAAATATAATGTATAAATACGGTGATATAGAAATGACCCCAATATATTTTATGGGACCTAATTTCTGGTGTGTGGAATCCATTATAAGTTAATATAGCCATACACTAGTAAGTTATAATTTAGTTACATTATACATTTACTAACTCAAATCAATTATTAAAATATTTTTAAGGATTTTTTTTACTACTGTGAATTTAACAAAAAAGATAAAAACAATATAAAAATAATATCAATTGTTGCCTGTATGGCTTTTTGTTATTTAAATCTTCAAATAGTATAGGTCTAGTTTTTTCCGTCTTTTCCAAATGTAGCCATATAAAGAGATAGTATATTGAAGGAAGAACTAACATTTTATTCTCCAAAGATCCATTCTCTCTATCAAAATTGGTTTCTATTTTTATCTTGTACATCATTTATCATCATCATTTTTTCACCTCCTAAAGTTTTCTTCAGCCAAGGAATTGGATAGTTGACCCACACTTTATCTTTAGACACTGACTATGCTGATTTTGTCAACTAAATAGCCTTTTTTTTCTTCCCTTAAGCCATTATTTTCTGCTATGATTTTTCTAACGTACTTCCTAATGAAGAGATTGGGGATATTTTCAATACTTGGACATTTTTGAATGCACAGAATAAACATATTGTCCAATATGGATTTTGAGTTTATCAAGTAAACATCCAAATTTCATCAATGTGGGCACAGTTCTTCAGTTTTTAATTCAGTTCTTCTTTTTTTAATCACTAGGTGGCAGACTTTCTATGGATATAATCCTCCACCTGGTAACCAATGAAAATTCCAGTTTCTATAGTTTTTAGTTTTTACTAATGAAAAGAATAACAAACAGCAGAGGTGTCATCTCAGGAGGATTTTTACTTCCAGAAAACAAAGGTTTTAATAACAGACTTTTCACCCCTCTTTTCTAAATGAGGTTTGCTTGATAGAAACTAAATCACAACTGAGATTTGATTTTGATCACGGGATTTTGCCCCTCACCCCCAATCTCTTGCTGTGTGCCTCTGTTGGGTTACAAATTAAAAAATATATAATTTCTTTGCCCTTCCTTTTTAAAGAAATGGTATTACAAATTTAAAAATTTAAAACATGCTAAAAGTAAGCCCCCTTCCCATGTTTCATTTTAGTACTTTATAATTAAAAAAAACATATAGGGGAAGGGTGCATATGACATATTGCCATGGTTTATTTTAATTTGATGACTGTTGACAGAATTTTTTTCCACAGAGATATAAAAATAACCAATACCTTCATTATAAAAGAAAGGCTCAAGAAAAAAAGGGAATATTAATTTTAAAAACCAGTGTAACCTGGCACAGTAGCCCAGCATCCCCACAATCCTGGGCCTATCCCCATGTGATCCAACTTCTAAAGCAGCCATGCAAAAACTCCAGCTGCTTTAATTATTTGAAATCTGGTCTTTTGCATTCCAAAGCAAAAGCACATCTTTTTGAAAGAGATGCATAGTCCTAGGGGTTTCATTCTGTAGTAAATATTCTAGGAAGGAAATACACTGTGAGTATTTTCTTTTTTGATTTTGCCATTACAAGGAGGAATACCAGAGCCAAGAGCATTTCAGCACTGGGCCATTCCACACAGGGCTTTCGAGCTGCCCACAAAATCTATCATGGAGCGATATGGTCCCACATCATTGTCAGCATTCAGCCATTGTACAAATTAATTTCTAGCTCAACTAGCTGGGATTTCCAAGGAACTTTGGTGGGAATTTTAGACAAACCCTATTTCCCATCTGCGTCCCATGATGGGATGCAGTGGCTCAGGGCTAAGACTCTGAGCTTGTTGACCAGAAAAATCGGCAGTTCGGCAGATCGAATCCCGAGTGCCACATAACGGAATGAGCTCTCATTACTTGTCCCAGCTTCTTCTGCCAAGCTAGCAGTTCAAAAGCATGTAAAAATGCAAGTAGAAAAAATAGGAACGACTTTTAGTGGGAAGGTAACATCATTCCGTGCGCCTTTGGCGTTTAGTCATGCTGGCCACATGACCACGGAGACATCTTCAGACAGTGCTGGCTCTCTGGCTTTGAAAAGGAGATGAGCACTGCTCCCTAGAGTCAGGAATGACTAGCACATATTTGCGAGGGGGACCTTTACCTTTACCTATTTCCCATCTCTTGGGTTTCAAACAACATAATATTTTGTTCATGGCTCTTGAAGAGGGAATTTTGAATGAATTCACAATTCCTCCTGCAACAACTCATTTTTTAAAAAATAGTCAGACAAATTCCTATTGCTTACCTTAAAACACAGCAAGGGTTGAGGTGAGCTGATTTGGCCAGTGAGAAATTGAAATGAAATTGATAAGAATCTACCTTTTGTACCTTGAGCCATGGTGGTGCAATGGTTAGAATGCAGTACTGCGGGTTCCTTCTGTTGACTGCTGGCTGCCAGCACTTTGGCAATTCGAGTCCCACCGGCTCAAGGTTGACTCAGCATTCCATCCTTTTGAGGTCAGTAAAATGAGGACCCAGATTGTTGGGGGAAATATGCTGATATGTGAAGTACTATATAAGTCTAAGTACTATTTCTATTGCTTCTCTTTGCCCCATATTGTATTTGAATGATATAGAGATGAGTTTATCTGCTTGTAATTTATTTCTTTTCTTTTTGTGGAGAACTGGGGAGGAAGAGTTTTTTTACTTGCTCTAAAACAATTTATTTCTCTCCTTCTTTCCCCATTGACAACTTTGGCCATTTTTACATGCCAGCAGGCTGTAATCGTTGGTTGGAATGTTCTCGCCTGCAACCTACAACTATGGGTACAGCAAATGGGAAATATGTTTGGTTGGAAAATAAGCTGCATTTTAATTTATTTCATCTAAGTTGCTTCCATAAACTTGGAATTTCTTCCTGAAAGAATTCAGGAAAGCAGGCTGAAAACAACTAGCTGAAAACTTCATCACTAGCAGAGAAGAGACCGCAGACCTTTCTTCAAAGAAAGGCTGGGAGAAATAAATCATAGAATATAGAATATGCCTAATGTGCTGAGATATCAGATATGCTGGTTCTGTTGAAAAGAGTTCACTTGCTGAAACCCCTGTTCCTGTAGTTATTTCACCACAATAAACAAATAAAAATGTGAGAACCGTGCTTGGAATAGAGTGAGTTTTGAATCAGGCAGTTGCCAAATAGCCTTATTCCTTTTTGCGACTACTGATAACTAGAGAATGATAAGTTGGTTTCTTTGCATTTATTCCTTTGAGCAATAATTCACTTACATGTTTGTTTTTGTCTTGCAAACAAGACCAATGTACAGAGTATATTTTGGAAATGTGGATGAGGACTTTTGCTGCTCCAATGGAATCCTGATCTAATTGTTATTTTTTTTTGTGCTATTCTATTGGTCAGCTGGGGCAGAACACTGAATAGCTGACAATATTCCCCCTTTTTTTGATTCCACATCTTGCTTTATACTGGTTTGAATGGGTGTATTAGTAGAGAGACATGGTTAATTCATCAAAGTTTTTAGTTTTATAAATGTTTTCTTCTGATATGCAGAACAACTTCCAATGCCACTAGGTGTCCTTGTTAAATTATCCCTGGGAGTAGCCTAGGGTTTCTCAAGTAGGTGGCACAGAAATGCTGGTAACAAATTCATCAATCAATCCATTATAAAACATCATATCATCAATATCCTGTGTGTTTCTTGCATATAGACATTACAAAGAAAGTACAAATGGAATACAGGCAGCCACATGGCTCCAGTAAGCTGAGATAAAGTCATGGGATCCCATTATTTTAAATGAATTCAGAATTTATTTGTTTGCTATTTGCTGGTCAAACTCACCCTTGTCAGCAATTCATCCATTTCTATCACAAGAGTATCTAAATTCTTCTGTGCCAAATTAATAAGTCTTTCTGGTGTTTGCTGAGGTGACAATAAATGCTGAAGAGGAAAAAAAAAGAACATTTACATTGTGGGTGCAATAATACTACTAGTAGAAAAATGTAATGCGGTATATGAAAATAATTTCCCTGAATATCTTTATGCAGAAGAAAAAGCATGGACATGGCTAAATCTACCATTATTAAATAGGCAAAGTGCCTGTTTAAACATATTACATGTTAGAAAGGTTATGTAGGATATGGCCAGGCTAAGACTGAGGGAGGGTTCAAATCAATCAAAAGTCCCTGCACACCCACAAGAGGTCTAAGTCCAGCCCACCTTGAATTTCCCTTGAACCTTAGTAGCTCAGATTCTTGGAGAGAGCTTAAGCTTGCACTAGATCTTTATATTCATTTGAACTAACTGAATCTCCTGACTTCCCTGGGGCTTGACAGGTTGTTTTATGTTAGAATATAAAGTGTACAATCACCATGTGTTTTACTGCTTTACTGCTTTACTGTTTAACTGTAACAGGAAATAGGAAACTCTACTTAAAACAAAAGAACAAACTTGTAAACACTGCCATCTAGTGGCTGAATACTGCTTTAGTTGTTGCAGAAAAATACATTCCAACAATGAATTCCAACATTTTCAATACCTCTATGCTTTGTTTATATTAACTATTATTTTCTTCAATCAGAAGAATTGAAAAATCAATTCATTATGATAATGGTTAAAGAAATTAAACTATTAACTCAAGTTTTGCTAAAATTTAAGCACAATAACATATGTTGATTAAAATAATGCTACTACTTGAGATCCAAACCACATTGATGGACTTGATTATACCTTTAATTCGTGGGTTGTGTTTTCAAAAGAATAAAGCATTTTATATGGTGGATAAAGTGGTCCGCTAAGATTAACACTTAGAGTCATCTGATTTAACTGATCCAAGTCACGAAGAAGGACACCAGTGCACTCATCATCGCAAGCTGTGGGAAAAGACAATTTAAAATAATATTTATTGGTGTTCAACTTCTGAGACAAATGCTTCTTATTTCAACTGAAAAACATTTTATAGTATACATAAAATGCGCCAAAATATAAGGGCACTAACATTCAGTAACTGGTTCCTAAAAATTCATGGAGCAATAAAAGGTGGAGAAGCAAAGATGTCTCTAGTAGATTGGAAAAATGGATATAAAATTGCCCAGATCTAGTGAGAAGGCCAATGTGACATAAAATACTCTTTAGATAAGAGCTCAATATACAATTTTTAGAATAACAAACACAAATCACTTTGCTCAGTCTAGAGCAGCTAAAAATCTTATTAGGTTTAGGTGGGGAGGAGTAACAGAAGGATAGAAGGGCAAAGGGCAAGGGAAGATTTGAACAAATTAATGTAATAGCTACTTAAGATCCATTTCAATTATATATCAGTATTAATAGCAGAGATTTAAATTAAAGAGCAAAGGTTAGAAATAGTGGTAAAGCCATTGAAACAATGCCAGTCAAAGAAGAGATAATTAAAGGAGCATTTTGAGGAAGTATATTGGTAATATTTGATACTCAAGCCTGGGAATTATGCACAACTGTGCAGAAACCTGATGTATAGAACAAGGCACAGAATAATTTACGGAATATGTAGTAAGTGAATAGTGCATATTCCAAAATACATTTCTAGATGAAAAGATCTTACTAAAATTGCAATGTGATTCTACCTTTTCCTCCTTGGCAATATTTTTGGGGTAAGAAAAAGGAAAGGAGAAAAACACAAAAGACGATGAAGTCTAATCCTCAAAATTCAATGAAACAGGGTGATTGCACAATTTTTTAAAAAAATTGATAAGTATCCACAAAAAACTATCAAGACAAGCTAACCCACCATTCTAACATCACCAGATCCTTTTGGTCTCCAGAGGACCAAAATCCAACCCTACACCCCTCAAATGGTTAATAATTTAATAATATGGTATATTGAAGCTAAATAAACTACATCATGAAGCCTGGTTTATGAACTAGACTAGTTGTAAAGATTGCAAGCTAATAAGCTCCTAGTTTAAATCCTTATTTCTGATTTATTTAAATTAATTAGCATCTCTGTTTTTTTGTTGTGAAAAAAAGTCTATTTATAGATGCACTTAGTTTTTAATGGGCAACCTTACTGAACTACTTTGAAAATATTTGGACATACAACAAATAACTGTTTTTTAATTTTTTTTAAAGCTATTGTAAACAGCTAGCCATCTGCGTATGTGTATGATTTCTTCAAGTAGGAATCCCATTCTACTTAGAAAGATTATTATTCTGCCTAAGGGTTAAACAGGAAATTATATTCTCCTTACTTTGAATATATCACTTACATGAATTGGGTACTGCAGAAATGTAATAAATAAGTAAAAATAAATTAAAAATGTTGAATGAAATAAGAATTGCCTATGATTCAATGCTTGGTTAGTTCTCAATTCCTCACTCTGATGTGCTAAGAAGACTTGTCCATTAAAATGACATGATAAGCTTAAAAAAAATACATGATCCTCAAAGAAGTCTTTTTCTAGATATTCTTCCCTCTCTGGTGATTCAAATTTCATATTTATAGATGATCGTCTAAGGCCTTGTCCTTGTCTGCAATTTACCATAGCATGTTAATAATTCAAGGCTATTCTTACTTTGCACCCAACAGATTCATGAAAAAGCTTTAATTTGACACTAAAGGCTCTTCCCTATGGTTCACTTGCAATCTTCTCCATCTGTCTGTGGGCCAGCAAAAAGCTAATAATCTCGTTGCCCATCCCAATTGCCTCTGTTCTGCCTTGCAGCATCTTCACTTCCCATAACAGGCAAGGCCATCCTCTTATCTGATTGGGTTAGGAAGGCAGCAGGTAAATCCACTAATATAGGGATTAATTTATTGTTGATTAGCAGAGATGAAATGATCTCATTTAATCATCTTCTGAACCTGGCCACTGGGCCAGAAAGAAATTACTGGTAGTCCTTGACTTATGACTGGTTGTTTATGGATTGTTTGAGGTTACAATGGACTCCTCAAAAGGTATTTATGACCTGGCTCTGAAGTTATGACAGCTCCCAACCATGGTTACAAGACAGCATTTCAGATGCTTGGCAACTAGCCTGTATTTGTGGTTGTGTACAGCATTCCATAGTCATGTAACCACAATTTATGACATTTTTGCTGAAAACTGACATTTACTTCTGGTTTACTTCTGCAAAAAATGTCCCCTACTGAAAAATGGGTTCACTTAACCGTGGTACTCACTTAATGACTTCTCCATAAAAAGTTATAAAATACGAGTCAGTTGCATGATAACCCATTTTACAGCTGTCACAACTTATGAAGATAATGTGCAAGCTCCGTTAAGGTCGCAAGTCGAGGACTATCTGTATTAAACATGTAACTTCAAATGAATACTGAGCCTAGTGGTAGATCAGTCATTCTACATTTCTTAATTATACAGGGTGAGGGGGGAAACTTTATCTAAAAAAAAAAAAGGATGAATAGATTATAGTGATTCTCATGGCCCCCTAAGCCTTACCATGAATTACAAGGGTGCAACTTCCATTTGTTGGACTGTTACTTTCATCCTTACATGTATAGTTCAAATTTGAAAAGTTGCATGTTCCCTTTCTAGTAGGGGAATGACACCTAAAAGCATCTTGACATAAACCATTATATCCTAAGCAACCGTTTGCCTGCCTGCGTGCTTGTGTACGTTTGCATGTCCAAGTTTCTTATCAGTTAGAGATGTATTCCTACAAGTCAACATTTGATGAACTTTTATTCAATCTTCTGCTATTTTATATCCAATTAAATTCAGGTTTTTCTCCTGTTAAAAACAGGTATGTGTTGCTCCAATCAGTGTAGAAAAGTACATTTCAACTGCAGAACCAGATAAAACGGCGAAGCAAATCACTAGAAGAGAGACACATTGATTTAATGAAACAAGAAGGCAATTGGGGATTGTACAAAGCAGCACTGAGAAGTGACTTTTCAGTTATTTCCTTTTCTTCTTTTTGCTTTGCACACCATGTTCTCCATCACTGATTTGTTGCTTGAACTGAAATACATTATAATTGCTCAAGTAAGAAGGCAATATTTTCTACTTTATGTATGCATATCTGAAAAATCTGTAAGTGATCTAAGTTTTCTTATGTTCTTTTTATCACACAAAGAGAAAGTAGGTTTCCATGTCTAACATAAGGATTTACACCAAGTTGTGAATTTTACATAACATCTACTTGCTCAGTTTTGTTAGGTATTAATCAAATAAATATCAAAAAGGCCTAGATTTTGAAAAAAAGAGGAACCATTTGTTGTATTAAGTCAGCAAATAGCAACCCACTATTAAAATTTTCTGATTTTACTTTTTTTTCTATTTAAACTCAAGGCAGTAGACAATAAATACTATAAAAAGGGATGCAAATGAAAACCAACTTAATTCAGCATGATAAAAAAACTGAATTGCTTATAAAGACATGAAAATACTCTAAATTAACAAATAACTATTTCCTGTTATATGGTCTATGAACATTTAGCATGAATTAATATCTCTGGGTTGAAAATTGAATTGAAAAGAGGAGACACATTATTGTCCCTTCTTTAATAAAGGAGACAAGGTGCAGTTACTCAAAGACTGGATTAAACTGGAGCAATGGAAATGTTACAAAATGATAATTATATAATTTATACATGACTAAATATCACCACAGTTTAGTCTATAAAACTGTCAGTAAGAATTAGTGTTCACTGCTAACAAATATAGCATTATAGCCAAGATGATTACAGTTATTCATGGAGAAAAGCAAAAACCATGCAGCATTTCAGCAAGGCATTAATTGGAAGCACACTGGATGAAATTAAGTATTTCTTAAGCAGATGATTGCTTGAGACACTCTCTCTTCCTCAAATTCTCCAAAGTTTGCTTTGAAGAAGGTTTTGAGGTCATGCAGAAGGATTCAAAAGCAATACAAGAGTTGCCCCCCTCCCACCTTTAGGGTTGGAGCACATTTTGTTGGTGGAAAATTTGTTAACTTAAAACAAAGAACAATTCAAGCCTACTTTAAAGGTGAACTTTCTTGAGCTAAAACAGGGGTATCAGACGCGATTTCATTTAGGGCCACATCAGGGTTGTGTTTGACCTCGGGGGCTGGGGTAGCCGTGGACATGGATAGCTTGACATCACTTGTGTCGGGGGCTCTTGTGGTGGCCCGAGCGCTCTGCCAACGAAAACAGGCTCCGGAGCTGCATTTTTGGCTACAATAGCTTCCTGCAACTCTGCCAGTGGAAACAGAGCTCGAGAGGCCTCCTGTGGCCCTCCTGAGGTTCATTTTCAACTGAAACAGCCTCCTGCAACTCTCTGCCAGTGAAAATGGAGCTTGGGAGGGCCGTGTCTTTGCTGTCAAAGACACAATGGGCTGGTTCTTCCAGGACTGAAGGACTGAATCTGGCCTTTGGGCCTTGAGTTTGACACCCCTGAGATAAAGCATGTGGAATGTAAGGGTGGCAAGGAAGAGAAGCCTTGATTAGCTGCCTTAGCAAAATAAATCTCCTCCATCTTTGGCAAATGATTACAGGTATTATAATTTACAGTTTTGTTTACTTTTAATAATGTGTGCAATATTTTCTCTCATGTGCATACACACTTGACGCTGGAAATCAGGATTTTTAAAACTGATCTTTTTGTGTTAGTAGTAGACATGCTTGATAGAGGTAGCCCTTAACTAAGAACCACTTGTTCAGCGATCATTTACCAGTTACAATAATACATATTTTTTTACAAAAGTGAATTAGAACTGTTCTTCACAGTTATGACCATTGCAGCATCCCCATGTTCATGTGATCAAAATTTGGGCACTTGGAAACTGGCATGTATTTACTATGGTTGGAGCATCCTGGGGTCATGTGATCATTATATATGGACTTCCCAGCTAGTTTTCAACAAGCAAAGCAAATGGGGGAAGCCAAGTTCATTTT